ACTTTCCTCACAGAGGTGAATCACAGAATTAAAATGCAAATGATTGCTGCAGTCATGATTGAAATCATTAGCACAACAAAAAAACTGTTACGGCAGAAGATTTCACCCCTGTTGGGTTGGTTTGGGTTTTTTTGCATAGAAAGCCTGAGCTGAAATTCAATTGTTAATTCTATTGCAAGTTAGTAAAAGATATGAGGCTTGGTTCTGAGTAGCATTACATGTAGGTTCCTCTGAAATTAAGTCTTATTTTTTATTTCTTACTTTCAGAGAACAAATTATTTTTGTTTTATTTGTGCTTTCCACTTGCTATTCACATGTGAGTAATGTACTGTAGTTCTGTGAAAAAATACCAGTGGAGTTCCATGCTCTTAAAATTATTGTAAGTTTTTTTTTTTTTTTTTCTGAAGGAATTAGTTTGCAATGTATTCTTGAAAACATCTACATACTCTGGTCTTGTAATGTGTAGTAAGAATTGTGTGCTTATGCAGAGTTCAGTAATCTCAGTATAACTCTGCAGAAGTGCCAATGGCCATGTCCTTCAGCCAGTGATGGGCACTGGCATGAAGCTTTTTCATAGCATTAGTTGTTTCTCAGAGCTGTTCCAGTATAGCAGTGCACAACTGTAAAACTTAAAATATTACTTATCTGATATACTGAAATAACTCTTTGCAGATATTGTAGACTAAAGAGTAACCTGTTAAATCTAGTGATCTAGTTACAGGTTTGCTCCAATCCATCAGATACCAAAACAATCAAAATGTAGATTTTTGTATTATATGAGCCACCTAACAACATATTATCTAAAGCAGATATTTTAAAATCAAGTTTTATGCAAATAATCTTACAGAGGTACATTATTCCTATTAGCCTAATAGAGTAATGGTTTCTAATTCCATTAAAGGATCCTTGCAATCTCTAAAAATGTATATCTAATTTATAAATTCTTTTAGACCTAAATTTAGCAAAAGACTTTTGTCCACTTCTAATGACATACCTAGATAGTTTATATCTCTGTAGGTGGCTGGTAGGTAACTTATTTCTGAAGGCATGTAGTGAATACATGCATGCATGGTTTTTTACATTAATAAATGACTACTGAGACCTGAAATTCACTGCATGGAATTAAGGATTGTTACCATGCACATTTTACTCTTCTGCATAGTATGCATATATCTACTTTATGCATGAGATGTCTACACATTGAAAAATTTGAGTTATTTGAAATAAGTACTCTAAGTCTCTCACTAATAATGTGAATTGAAGATGCATCAAAATATAAATGTGATTTGTAGCACATTCTCATAGGAATTTTGCCTTTTGTTTTTCTATAGCTGATTCAGGATGAGATAAGGCAGTTAGTGAAGTTGCAAACCAGCAAGAGCAGAAGTTTGCCTGCCAAGCTTACAGACACTTTTTCATCACTAGAAAGTCAAATGGGGATGCGTTCTGAAATCTTTGAAGAAAATGAGTGCGTTGTCAATCAGCTTAGATCTAGCGAAGCAGAAAGTCAGCCAAATGCATCTGATCTGCATCAGGAGTGGTTTGCAAATGATGCTTCAATGAATAGTGGGTATGGCACACTTTCTGCCTCCGAACTGAACCCTTGCAACTCTAACGACGTTAACAAGTGCACAGACTACATGGAGAAAACTTCACAAGGACAGAGTGATGGAGCAGTATTGCAGGGTGACACAGTTGGAGCCAGTGTTCAAAATAAGAGAGAACTTTCCCCCCCAAAAATAGAGGAAAAACGTTCATCAGGAAGAAATGATATTTTAGTTTTTCCTACTGAATTTGAACATAAAGTTGATGAAGGTGAATGTGGAAAAAAAGCCAGGTAAGTGATAAACTGTCCAAATACGTTAATTTATTGTAGATAGTCCCCATTCAGTAAACAGCTATTGGTAACTGGAAACATGTAAGAATTGAATGGAACCTCTTGATTGTAAAAAATACTATGCTGCTGGGTAGATAAAGTTATTTGTTTAGCCTAATGTTTCTGCGTGATGCATATTAGCATCTGCAGTGTTTATCTGTTGCAGATATGCTGGGCGGGGAAATATGAAATCTACTTTCTACTGCAAATTTCAGCTAAGATACAGTTTGCATATAGTGTTTACCAGTGCACCAGAATTTTACGTGACAATTACCAATTTTATATGACTGATACTTTGCTATTGTGCTCAACCAGTCTCTTTTGCTAGCTTATATGCATGCATTACAGTAATAAACTGTATCAGACAACAGCCAAACATGTTTGGGTTTTTCTGTTGTTTTTTTTTTTTGGTTCATCTTTGTTTTGCTGAAGAGGTGAGTTGAGCTACCAAGATTTGTTTTGAAAGATTGGCTAGCTAATTTGACAATAATACTGACCAAATGCTGCTCTAGTTGCACAGAACTTAACAACATACTTTACTCTCCCTGTCAGACTAGGCTGAAATGCTTCATGTGGTCACAAGCAGTTATCAGAGGTCTTGTGGGCAGCACGTTGCCTGTGAGTCCCTGATAGTAGTTAGCAGAGATAAATACTTTCTCTCTACTGGAAAAACAGAGAACTGTGAAAATGAACTTGCATTTTGCTGGTATGTAATAAAACACAGAACCAGCTTTCTTTAGAGGATTTGGTTTGGAAATGTGTTTTGTCTCAATATATAGGGAACATCATAACAACATTGATTTGTGTGTTCCCTTCCTCCCTTCTCTTGGGATTTTTTTCCAGTATTTGATTTGTGTTGCACAGTTCCATGAGGGGGGTAGCTGCAATTCATGGACTGTCAGGGAGCTTAGAGCTGGAGAAGCTCAATTCAAGAGTGTTTTTCAGTTTGGAAAAACTTTCTAAGACAACTTTTGAAATCATTCATGTATGACTTTTTGCCCTTTTAAAAAAAAAAAAAAAAAACAAGTTTTGTCTTTTTGAAATTGCTTTCTGTTTTGTATTATGTAATCAATTGGAAGGAAGAAAGTGTTCAAACCAAAATGAAATGTCAGTTAACCCAAGCTGGGTTTTTTTGAGGGGGTTTGTTGCTGTTCTTAAATTTTTAGTTGTCAACTTTTTTTCATTCTTTCCAGTGCATGTTCCAAACTGGGACAATATGTAATTTTTCAGTGTCTGTTTTTAACAAAATGGCAAAATCATTCCACATCTACATCTAAGAAGAATTTCAGGATGTCTCTATTTGTTATGGTTCTTCTGCCTTTTTTCCTCTGTTTTCTTCTATATCTTGTTTCAGTCTTTCTTATCCTTGAAGATTCTCTTGAGTTGGAAGCCATCCTCAATGTGTCTTAGCTGACATCATCTTTACAACCAGACTGCTAACACAATAAGAAAACCCATTGCATTTACATTCCAGCTTAATTTTGTGGTTTTGATTAGTATCAGCTTGAACAGACCAAAAAGCCAGTTCTCTGGCCGAATATATGGAGCTCTTTGTTATGATTTTTTTAAGTAGGAAAGCCATTTTGATTATGGGTGCAGTTCATTGGCACCTTTCCTTTCAGTGATTTGTTTGTGTTTTGGTTTTTTGCTGTTGTTTTGTTTGCCTTTAAAAAAAGAAAATCCCTAAAACCTTTCAGCATTCATTACTTCATATTGTTTCTCAAAAATGCATAAAGGCAGTGGAGTTTTAGTGCCTATGTTTCACCTTGAAGAAGAAATTGATTTCTGTAGGGATTATGTCCCCACTGAAAATGGCGTATGTAATTAAGGTATATGTGTGTGTTTCTTACCATCTAGTAAATCTTTAACATCATGGGCACAAAAGTTGAAACAAAACCAACCAAAAAGAATAAATGTGGACGAAGTATGTGTGAACTCTATGCAAGAAAATGAGCAAGCAAAGAAATTACCACTTGAGAATGTAAGTCTCTTTTTATTATGTTTTTCTAATTTTATTCTTGTCACTGGTATTTTTTTCAGTTATGTAGTATGTTCTGCTTCAGCATATGCTTTCATACTTGGCTTTAAGCATTTGAATAGTGGTGTTCCCATTCATGTGGGCAGTTTACTTCTTCTATCACTTTATACTTACTCACATAGCTATTTTGGCTTACTTTATTCCTTGTCTAATTTTTGTCTTACCTGAGTGGCACATGTTCTTTCCTTATAGAGATAATAGTTACATTCTCAATTGAAGCTTCATGTCATGGTAATTTATGGTGCCCTATAATTACTTGAAGGACATTTGTTTTCAGCTGGTAATGTCTCTTTTAGTACACGGAATTTTTTTTGTGTTAAGGCATTATCCACTTCAGGACAAACAGTATTCTTCCAGATGGGGATTTTAAGTTGCAGGGATTTTTTTTTTTTTGTCTTGGTTTGGGCTTTTTTAGTATTCTTAGCAGTCTCTTATGCTAAAATCCAAACAGGATTTTTTTCTTTTTTGTATTGTTTATGTAAGAATAATACATTCTTTTATGCCTGTGTATGATTATGATTTGGCTAAAGTGAACTACTCCAAGCACAGTTACAGCACTGGTTACTAAAAGTAACCCCTCCAATAAACATTTAGGAGATCTAACTGTCTCTTTAGAACCATTTGTAGTAAGACCTATTGCTGTGACTGCTGAATCAGCTCAAAATACTTCTTTTGAGAAGAATTTGAGTTCCCCCTCCCCCATATTCTTGAGTTAATGATTGTGTGTGTTCACAAATCTCACTTTTTCAGGAGGGAGTTTAGTCACTTAAAATATTTCTGATCTAAAAGGAGGCTATGCAGCGTGATTGTATGAGTAATCATCATACAAGTAACGATGAAGAATTACTTTCAGTATATTAATTGTCACAAACCTCTCTCCTTATGCTATTTTTAAGGAAATAATTCCTGAAACTCTGTGAATAGTCCTACCTACAGGAGAATAGGGGAACTAGCAAATATAAATCACTTGATTCAAGGCAAGGTCTGTTTTCTTCCCTGTGGTCACTTTGAGGGTGATCCAGAAAGAGTAAGAGTAGCCGTTTGGGCTTGCTCTCTTCAGTTGTCTTCTATCGTCAGTGGAAACAAGATGTTACTCTAAGGGATATTTTGAACCAGGACTCAAATTTATGTGCTGTGGATTGTTTCTTTTCTCTCTCTGCTACAGGAGGGTGCCTAAGGAAATTAGTGCCAGAAACTCAGATTTTGAAAAGACCTTTATCTTTCTGTTCCTTTGTAAGAATTCAGTTGATACTCCTTCATTTTCCTTTCTTCCTCCTTAGGCAAAGGAGAATACCTAAATAAAATCATTAAGAGGGACAAAATAGCCTTGAGGTGAGATGGTACTTCATGCAAAAACTTGAAAAGCTTTAGTTCTAAATTTTTTTTTCCCCCTACTTTTTGTTAACTCAATGGTTACTATCCTGTTTTAGTCCTCAGTTGTATGAGCTGTATAAATTTGCCAAGTAGCATGATTGTTAAGCTGCTGTAATGGAACAAAAAGCCCTAAGTACGGTAGAAAAGAGCAATGTGAGATGACCGTTTTAAAGCTAGCTGCCCTTACTCAGTTGCTGTTGTATCACTGTGTTATATCAATGACATCTCTTCCTTAATCAAAGGAAGAGGAGAGTTGTAGCAAATCTTAAATTATGTAATTTTTTTTTTTCCATGTGTTTGGTCCCACCCTTTTCAAGGTGTTTCTATAATTAGCTGGGGAGGTTGCTTAGAAAGTTTGGAGTGATGAGAAGGGTATATTATATATCATCTTGTCTATCTGAGATGATAGTGTTTCCGTCGGGATTTGTGGTAGGTGGAGTCACAACAGCTGAATATAAGAAATTCCAATCTTAGGATGAGGAAAGAGTAACACTCTATTGGTAAGTCATCCCTCTATATACTTGCGCCTCTTAAGGGGCAAGAAAGTTTAGATGACTGTCCAAAATGTGTATTTTTGTAACAGTGAATCTCAAAAATGCTCCACAAGCGGACAGGCACGTGACTTAGAAAATATCAGTATCTTTTATTATGTGGCTTAGCTTAGTTCCCCTTTTGACGGTGATTGCCCTGAATATAAATTGTATAGGTTTGGATCATGCTGTATAATTAAATTTAATCTCTCTGCTTAAAAAGACTAATAACATTTACATGCAGTTTTTAAAAAATTGTTACCTTGATATTTTTTTCTTGCCTTGCAATTTTCCTTATAAATTTGTTTTTCCTTTTGTAATTTTAGACAAACCTTACTGATGCTGCTTTGCCACCTCACACTTTTTACCTCAATCAACCAAATGAAAGTCCAAATTCCTTAGTGTCTGAAGCTTCAGGTACAGTTAATTTCTCGTACTTACATTTCCTTTTCTTTTGAATTCTTGTTTTTTTAAAACTCTTACTAGAATGTATCTGCAATAACTTTGGGGAGATGAAGAGGGTTTGAGCACTGACAAGCTATTAAACTTTGATACAGCATAATTCTGCTTTTCTTGCTCTTGCGTTTCAAACTGATGGTACCTCCTGCATATCACTGCTGGCAGATGTAGGACATGCAGCAATTATTTTCTTCAGATTTCTCAACATTTCAAAGCTGAGCTTTATGTTTAAAACTGTTTCAATAATGTAATTACTATTAAAATCATGGTGGAGTATCAAATGATTGTTCAAATATTAGCATCATTGGCCTAGTAATCACAGGAGTGCATGGTAATAGAGACAGAATTCCTGCAAGCCAAGGGCATGATTAAATAATTATGTGAATAGACAAGAACAAAATAATTCAGTGTGTAATGTGGTGATTCTTTAATTGTGTGTGTGTTGCTTTTTTTGTGTTTTGGTATAGTTTTGCTTTTGCTGTTTTGGGATGTGTGTGTGAGGGGTGGTTGGTGGTGGGTTTTTTGGTAATTTTGGGGGTTTGGGTTGTTTGTTGTTTGGGTGTTTGTTTGGTGGGTTTTTTGCATGTGTGTGTGAAAGCCAAACAACTAATTCACCTATTTTGATCGTAACAGGATGAATTGATTTCAGTAACAAACAAGGGCACAGAGATGCAGCCCTGCAAACTGTGTATATTTATTGCTGCTTCACAACCTATTGAGAGAGGGACCATATAAGAAACTGAAGTGGGATTGAGACTGTATCTGTTCCTCTTGTGCTCTCCGTTTTTGTCCTGGTAGTCTGTCTTTTTGCATGCTGTAGAGTGCTGTTGAGTTCCAAACCAAAGAGTTTGTAGTATCAAGCGGCTGTCTAGGATTATTCCTTGGGTAATGTAAGTTTTAAGTGCTATACTGGAATCAGTAGAAATATAAAAGTTTGTGGTAAATGAGGATTTGTTCCTTGAACACCAAAGAGTACATCTATGTGTTTTCACTGATTTATAGCTTTTGTTACTGATGCTGTGTGGTGTAATATTGATTATGTTGCTTGTGCTTTGCACTGAGATTTTTGTAACTTGTGGTGACAAGTGCTTTAGTGAGATTCTAAAGCAATAGATGCAAATGATTTATACGTTATTCTTATTAGCAGACAAAGTATCATCTTACTAATGGATTTTGGGATTCCTGTTCTACAGCTGTGAACTTGAAAATTGTAATTTTTTTTCTTTTCTTTCATTGTTTCTTCTTATCAGGACTTTCATACTGGAAATTAGATGAAAAGGAGATGTATCACTCTTTACCAGAGAATTTCAGAAGCGAGTTTGCTGATATTTTCTCCACAAAAGTATCACCAGATCAGGTAAACTTTGTACATGTTTTAAAAGTTGTCTTATAGTTGCTCGTCATCTTTATTTTTTCTACGATGGAAAGAATCAGCCCTCAAGAAGCTAACTTTTCTGTGAGAAGTCTTTTGTTAGCTCAGTCTCTCATATTCAGTTTCTTCATTTACCCCCACTAAAGTCAATTGGAATTTATTGATCTTCTGTCATTTAAAAGAAATTGTGTGTATAGGAGATGAAAAGAGACTCACCAGTATATTAAAGGTGTATATGCCTCATCGAAGACCCTTTTTAAAATTGTGTGCAGTGAATAAAGCCACCTTCTGTTCTGAACTGATTTATTAGCGGAACCCGCCCCACGACTTGTTTATTTATATTGGAGATGGAGAATTGTGTTCAGATAAACTAATGCAGCAATTTTCCTGTTGAAGTTGTCTTCTGCTGATGAAACAAAACTATCATCATTGAAGGATATTTATCATAAAAGACAAAGGGAAAATAAGCAGCTGCCTGACCAGAATTTTATGCCTTCTTCCCAGTCAAGTCACCCACCAGAGGTAACGTTAGCTTCTTTACTTCACATCTCAGTTTGAAGATATGATAGGTTACAGACTGGTTTCACATTAATTGGCCCCTGCTGCCACCTCCAGTGTTATGCTGGAACAGCAATTTGTGCGGCTGTGTGATGAACCAGATTGGGAAGGGATCCAGCTGAAAAGAACCTCTAAGAATACCCTGGGTAAACAAGCACCTTTGCTGCGCAACCTTGAGGATGGTGCAGGGACGAATCTGCTTATGCTGAGGCTGCAGCTGATGAAATGCACGTGGAGCTGCAGTCACAGAAGCAGGGTTTTCTTACTGTTTCCCACAAGGCAAGTTCATTCCACCCATGAAACAGACGAGGCGCGAGTTGTGGAAATATTCTTTATTGCATCTGTTTCTTTGTACAGCTTTCAGTCTTGTACAAAATCCATGAATGATGGCAAATATGTGACTATCTTGTTCACATAATCCATGAAGTGATTTTTTTGTTAACTGTACAAAGTTAGTTTCAACCTACAAGCAGACATAATCCTTCTATTTACATAACTGAAATTTCAAAGATTTTCTAGGGAGCTACAGATGTTACATAGGTCTTTTATTTGTAATGGAAACTTAGAAACACAAATTGCAAACATTGGGAATATGTATCGTCATCTAAGCTGTTGCAGGTCTCTTCATCTGGTTTGTCACAACTGAATGATATAGTAATATTCAATATAATTCCTGCAATATATTATATGGATTACTAATGTCTTCAGATAAGCTCCATTTACAAGAACAAAAGTTAAATCACCATTTTTTTTTAGCGTTATAACTTATTTCCTAGATCTTGACGTTGGACCCAACCCTGCATATGAAACCAGGTCAGCAGAACCCAGGACGCTGTTTTTTCAATATTCCTGAAGAGGCTGCTCCTTTTTCTCCAGACTCAATGGCAGAGCCTGGATTTTCAAGTCATTGTGACACAGACTCTTTTTCACAAACAAGTAATTCATCTCAGTTAGATGATTCTCCAAAACATCCTGCCAGCAGCAGAGCTGTGCATTTGGACCTCTGGAGAAATCACCCATTCCAAAATGAAAACAAGACCAGCTGTCCCTTTCCAATGGCATATACCGATGCTAATAATGATAATTTAGTCAACACTGAGGAGGAAGAAACACTGACTCTAACTCCATCTTCTGTTACTCAGTGTGCTGAGAACAGTTTGCCAGAATATAGTCTTTCAGTGACATCTGTTGAAGATCCTGTGATAATGTCAAAGTAAGTAAATTTTTTTTTTCTTTTTGTAAAAGTTGTAGATTTGGCACTTTCATGAAAGAAGTGAAACTTAACAAAACTAGTAAACTGAACAAAGTATGAGTTCTGTTTACTGAGAACATAACTGGACATTGCTGCTTTTTTTCCGCCCCTCTTATTATTATTCTTCTTTCTCCCCTGAAGTACAGATGGTGTATAAATACAACGGCCATTTTCCACTTCTTACAATTGTCTTTCTTTAGACCATACTATTTAATCTTCTTTAGACCATACTGCTTAATCTAAGGCACAATATTTGTTCTCTGTCATCTTCAGATGTCAAAGCCTTAACTGGAAGGCAAAACAATTTTTTATGTTTTAATGCTTTGCTTATTTCTGTTTATATGTTAAAATAAAAAGACATGCCTCCTCCATAGGCTGTATGAGGGAGTTAATTTAGGCAGAGAATTCCGAAGTTCTGTGGGAGTTATATTTTCTTATTTGGAGTCAAATGCTGGGAGAAGCACAGAATTTCTCTACTTGGGAAAAATAAATATCCCCCATTCGCTATCGAAGCTTGCATGATTTGCACGTGGACAGGCAGACATGGCATGTACTCTGTGTGTGAGGGCTTACGTAGGATCATGGTTTCAAGATAGTTCAGTGTTGGAGTTTTCCTATTTTAATTTTGCATGCATAGTTTCTAGTGCATAGCAAGGGAGAGAAGAGAGAGTAAAGCTTTGTATATATTATCAGAATTTGTGTTAATATGAAGACTTCTGTGCAAGCCTTAGGTGTCTGACATTGCTGCCTTAGATGATGAAGCTTTCTTTGTTTTAATATGAAGGCAACAAAGTTCTGGAAGAGAGATTTATATGCTGAGTTCATTATGTGTGAATGAATACAGCAATGCACAGTCATGTGGATAGCTGGAAATTTTTTTTTTTCTTAATTTTGAAAACAGGATTAGGCAGAACTTGAGGCAAAAACATGCTCGACACATAGCTGATCTACGAGCTTACTATGACTCTGAGATACATAGCTTAAAACAGCAGCTAGAGGCAAGCCATAAAACTGCTTCATCTGAAGACTTGAAGAAAATCAATCAAAATCTTGCTGACAGGTACTGTTTGCTGTTTGTCCTTACTTGTCTTCTTCCTCTGTGACGTGGTATTCTTTCAGTTTTAAAAACTGAGTATGCTTGTTTTAGAATATCTTGAAAAGTTTGTGTCACTCTTCAATTGTGAAGATTTCATGCATCTGTGATGTTAATATTTTCCTATTAAATATAAATTTTGTCTTATTTAATGCAGCTGCTTAAGATTAGTTTAAAATAATTGTTAGGCAGCAAGGGTGATGTTTGGACCAGAGAGGGGTCTTATTTGACCTGATTTGTACTGAAGCCAGTATAAGTTTTGCTCAAGAACGGCTGGCAGGGCTGAGGTAGTCCTAGGCAATTTGTAATGGAACTATCTATGTTGTAAGATAGTGCTTGCTTGTCATGCTGGTGAACATCATCCCTCTTTACCTTTCATGTCAAAACTACAGATGATATAGGACCAATCTTGAATTCACTGTTAGCTTTATAAAGCCAATTTGCCAGTCTTTGACCAGATATTACTATGGGAGTCTGTGTTCCTCACCTATATCCATTAGATACAGCTTGAATGTTTGCTATAGAAGTCTGATCTGATTGTTCTATCATTAGTGCTAGTCAAAATACATATTACAAATTCAGACAGCTATAATACTTTACAAAATTTATGCCCTTCAGAGTAATTGAAAAAGTGTGTGGGTAGCTGGGACTCTTTTGTACATATCTTCTAGCACTAGCGCGTTGTATCTATTAAAAGTGACTTCTGAGCAGTCATTTATTAAGTTAAAGTAGCTTGTGATATGATTTCACTCATTAATTATCACACAGCATCATCAATTAGCTGAAGTGGAACTCTGCTCTGGTGCATCTGAGCTGCTTTTCTGCAGCTCTTATGCTCTGAGCCATCTGGAGTCTCTGTGCGTGTTCCCAGTTTGCTGCTTGCCCGCCATGAGCACCACAGCCCTTCCGAGCAGAGACACTAGGTGCTCGTCAAAGCAGCCAAAGACTATGGGAGAAGGTCGCAGGTTGGGCACCAAAATTCGTGGGGATGCTTGAGGAAGGAAACAAAGGCTATAAAATGTAGATTTATTATTTTAAAATTTCAAGAGATTTTTGTAATCTGTATGTTCTAAATAGGTGTGACCAGTTAGATGCGGCTCTGAATGAAGCAAGTGCTCGCATAAAAGCCCTTGAAAATAAGAATAATATGCTAGAAAAGCAAGTGGTAAGTATATATTCTTAAATAAAGTTGCTTTTTAACTGAAAGGGTAAGCAAATGCCCTTGCTCATTATTAAGCTGATCTGTGTTTCCAGATCTTTCTCTTTTTATTTTCAACCTTTCTCCTTAATATATGACATCACCCAGTATGTTACACCAGTGTATTTCCTAGCTGAGTTTTTTCTTAAGACTCCTTACTTGAATCATTGTCACTTTTGTTTATGAAAACCTTTCCAGGTTGGCAGGGATCAACCAATGTTGGAGTGAAATATTGTGATGTGTTTATGGTCTCTCTTTAGATTTATTTATTTTGTTTTAATTACTTTCTCTTGGATTTCTTTTTAGAGCTTGGATAAAAGCAAATCTCATCTGCACTGAGTCAAAAATATTCTAAGTATATTTATACAGTCTTTCTGGCTAGGTCAGACCAGTTTGCTTATGACGGCATAGCTGCATTTATTGGTCAAGGAACAGGACACGTTCGTGGCAAAGTTAGACGTGTGGAGAGACTAAGTCCTTCTACCTTTCTGACATTTTTCTATGCTGGGAAGCAAGAGAATCAGCTGAGATTAGAGGCCTCACGTCTAGATATTTTAAGTCCTATAAAATAAACAAACTTTTGGGTTTTTAGCCTTCATTTTCATTCTTTATACAGCACAGAAATGAACAAAAATCTTGTTTAGTTCATGTACAGACGTACCCTTGTTTTCTATTTAGATGATTTTAGGTAATGCTTTGTACCGAAATAAAAAATCTGCTAGGTAAGCATTGTAATGAATGTTTTGGTGTGTTGTTGGTTTTTTTTTTCTCCTACAGGCAGATTGGCGAGAACGTTTTTGTGCAGTCAGTAATACTTCCAAAGTTTTGCAAGAACGTATTGAAGAAATGCGCACAAATAATAAAGAGAAAGATAACACTATCAGTCGACTAAAATCGAGGCTTAAAGATCTAGAGGAAGCATTTGAAAAGGCTTACAAGTTATCTGATAATAAAAATACAAGGCTAAAGGAAGAAAATAAAATGTTTCAAAATGTAAGTAAGAAAATGGGCAGTGGTGTTTACAGTTGCACAGCATGTTGTGAACACAGTAAGTCCTGGTTTTGGAAAACTGCTCAGAGTTTACTATTGTAAAGTCTTAATGTACATCTAAGAGAACAGAAATTACTCAGCTGACTAGTTGGCTAGGCATTAGGTGACACTATGGACCTAATAGATATCTACAAACAGGTATTTAATGCAGCAAGTGATGTGACATTGGTCATGGTCCATCTCAGGTACTATATTACTTTATGAGCTATTGGTTCTTTTTATTTTTAGAGGTATTACAGGAAATTATTTTGGAACAAGTTATTTTTTTCCTCTCAAGTGCAGTGGGACTGTACTGAATTTCTTTCATAAGTCATTATTACTTGCTAAAACTGTTAATTTTGTGTATGATTTTTAGACTGAATCAATGAATTATTCCTCTGATTTTTCAGTAATAGCTTTATAGAATGGTTAAATGGATTGGCAAAATGGGTGTTAGCTGTAAAAGCTACTCCATGCTTTAACTCCTCTTTTACAATTAAAATTTCAAAATCCAAAGTCAGCTTTAAAGTCAGTAAGGAATTTTACCGGTTTGTTTAGCTCCTTCAGGTTCTTTAGAGATAAATAATTTGAAAATTAGAAATACGTTGGGTAAGTAGCTCTGTCTCCTCTTGTCCTGTCTGTAACTTTTTGTTCCAATTAGAAGATGCTAGAACTTAACAAGTACTATTAAAGTACACTCTGTATCCCTTGTAGTGCTTCTGCATATGTTAGACAAGCAATTTAGATAATTTTACAGCAGTCAACAAAACTGTTAATTGTATATAATCTCAGTGTGGGTTTATGTGTTCTCTTTTTTCTGGTTTTGTTTTAGCTTTTAGGAGAATATGAGTCCCTTGGAAAAGAACATGAAAGAGTAAAGGTAAGTACATGCTAGTTAATTAAGAAAACAAACATGCAAAATATATGATAATGTGCCATGGAATTAACTGAGTTAACTTAGGTATTTTGAAAAAGATCAAACGGAAAGGTCCATATTTATTTTAACTGATAGCTTCTTACTACATCTTCAGAGCCCTGGAAAGGGAAAAGGAGGGTGTTTGGAATGTATCTTTTTCCAGTCATAGATAGCAAAAATACTGCAAAGTCAAAGCCAAAGAAATTTAATGGACCTCCCTTTCAAATAGGAAGGTGTATTTAATGTGTGGTTTTCAAGACTGATGTAGAGTTACTCATTTTTCTTTTAATACGCTTCTGCAGTTTCTAGGCTTTTTACTTTTTTCTTGTGTACTTGCAGGATACATTAAATGCAACTGAAAACAAATTGCTTGATGCGAACACACAGATTTCTGATTTGAAAAGGTAAACGTGAAACTGTCTTACTACTATTTTAACAATATGAAATATAGGCTATGGCCTGAACATTTACTCCTAGATTATAAAGGCTGTAGATCTTGGAAATTTAATCTTGTTATTTTAGGATATCTGTATTTACTACTTCCTCAATCACAAGGTCTTCCAGTGGGGTGTAACTAATTGTTGCCTTTCTGATGGTTGTCCCTCAGCTAGCCCAGCCAGTCTACAGCGCAATCTTCTGCTGCGGTTGTCTCCTCAGGAACTCCCACCTTCAGCTAACCAGTCTCTGTCCTGGTTTTCAGGAGGGAGGATGCTGACAGGAGTTTGCTGTTCCAGATTATGTCTCCTAGGCATGAATAAAGGACAGAAAGGTGTTCTGTTCATAGAGCAGGAATAATATCTCCTGTGGATGTCCCTCATGCTACCTGGATGTATTTTTTGGTTGGGAGAACAGAAATCCATTGAGCTTTATACTTCCTGGGTAGGCCCTAGGCAACACATGTGTGACCATCGAGGGATTTACAGTTATAAACATATCCTCTAGTTTGGGATTTCTCAGCCACCCCTTGTCAAGGGTGTTGAACAGCAGATTTGCTCAGGAAAGTCTAGAGAGGTGGGAGGAAAGGACACCTGAGAGGGCTCTAGGGCCGGCAGCGTGGAACTGTAATGAGGTGATGTTTCATGTCATTCATTTCCCTTTGAGCTGCTTTTGTGGGTATGTGCTGTCATAATTTCCTTTTATGTTTTTATATGAGCAACTGAAGCCCAGACTGTTAGGAAGATTTTTTAATATGTGTGTGGTTTTTGATGATTCTTTTTGAAATGTGACTCCAAGTTTCAACTCTAATTCCAAATGTCATTGCCACCAAGCATTAACCTGTGCATAGTCTTCAGCCAAAACCAGAAAAACGGCAAATGTGATACTCAGGAGATGGCACAGTCCTTTTCTTCGCTCGGATCACCTGATTTTTCAAGAAGAATAATAGAAAGAATTAATAGGAAAAACTTAAGAAATTAATAGAGGGAAGCCAAAACCACTCTGCCTTCAATTTTTATTGAGACTGTTGAGGAAATAGTGTGAAGGACAGTTCAGTCAAGTATTTCTATTGGTGCTTGTATCTTTTCCTGCCTGATTCTCAGTGCTGCTAGCTAGGGACCATTCCAGACTGGGGAAATTGTGGTGGAAAAGGAGATTTTTATATCCTGCTCCAAAAAGCTGTATTTCTGTTGCCCCAAGTGGGGAATCCCTAAGGTTGTGCTGCATTGCCAAAGGCTGGTTCACTGAAGACGTGGACTGGGGTATGAGGGAGAGAGGAGAATCACGTGAAGATTCTGAGCAGCAGATTGATGGAATTACGTTAGTGATGCACAGGAGAAGGAGCCACTCATTAAATCCAGAGTCAGGGAGACCTTTGTAGAAGTACATCATTTCAAGGAGGAAAAATGTTCTTGTTTTGTGTTCCCCAACCCCTCTGAGGTGTACACTTAGATCCACAGCAGTATCTCCTGGTCCCATCTTTCTAGCTAGGTTACCTAACTTACTTAACTTAGAATTCACATACATATTTATATACATATGTAGATAGATAGATAAAAAGTTAGTTGCTCTTGATCTTCTGCTTCACCCAGAATATCTGAATAAAAATGAGTAAATGCTAAGAAATATGATGTCTCTTATGTCATTTAGATCATCTTATAATGTATCCTTGCTACTTCCCCATTAGGACAATTTCAAAACTTGAAGCTCAGCTCAAGCAGGTAGAACATGAAAATATGCTGAAACTTCGCCATATTACTGAAAGTCGTTTAAGAACCTCTTGTGCCAAGTAAGCGAATATTCCAACAATGTGAAAACAGGTCATGTGTTTTAGAATACTTTTTAATGTGTTTTGGCTAAAAATGGATCAAGACGATGTCAGTCCGTAGGCTAAACTGGATTACACACGTGACGTAATCCAGACCCTTCCCATGCCAAGAAATTATTAAAAACAAATAAATACTGTGGATAATATATGTGTGACTCAGCAGACAGTCTGTAGTCTTCGCCAGTGAGTGTTTGATAGGTCTCAATTGCTCAGCTGAAGAGGGATTCCCATGCTCAGCAAAGATCTTGGGAATAAAAATCTAATAGTCCGATTAGACATTGGAGGTTTTCTTTGTGTCTTTGTCATTGATTTGAAAAGCTAGTAACTACTTCTTATGTTTCTAAATATAGTTTTACAGGTATCCTGAGAGTAGAGTGGAAGTTCAGTTAGAATATATACTCTAGTTTGAATTGTGAATTTATATTAAGGAAATTAAAGTTGGCCTGTATTCTGGTTGTGTTTGGTGGTGGTGTTTGGGGTTTTTTTTTTTTAATGTTTTAAAGACCTGAAAAGCTTGGTCCCTCTTTGGTTTTTATTATTTAATTATGGCTTCTTCAGTGTCTCTCTCACAGTACTGATGCTGTGAAGCACAAAATATGTAATGTAATGTATTTTGTGGATGTCCATTTGTGTATATTGAACAGAAGTATTTGGGGGGGAATCGGATTTTTTTATTTTATTATGAAGATGCAAGTAATTTATGTATTAATATATTTACAGGGACGGATTTCTGTTTAGAGCTATTTTAATATTTATGAACCAGATCCCTCAACAATGAACAAAAAAAAAAAAAAAAAGAAAGACCTGAGCATGGCAGACTATGCTCATCAGGGAGGAGGATGTAAGAGCCAGTGCAGGTTTGGAAGTTAATCCATCCCTAACTGATCTCAAAGGCTCAAAGAAAGCCTTATTCCAGCTGAATGCACAGCAGGATAGATTTACAGAATCGTAGTTATGGTTCATAGCTTATGTAAACAAGAACCCTTTTTTCCTAATTATCATCTACTTTCCTGTGTATAAAAAAAAAAAAAAAAGCACATTTTTCTTTAGATATTTCAAGACAATATACTCATTGATGCTTATTAGTTAATACTTATCACTGTCAGGTGAGCAGTGGTGATATTTTTTCTTCTTTTGTGTGTTTTGGGTTTTATTTTTAATTTTTCTAATAAGTGGTGTCAAAAGGAAAGCTGGGGTCAGATGCTTTGAACTATTGGAGTAATCTACACCAAAATGTTTTAGGTTAATTAGCTGAGAATGGCTTGTACCCAAACCTCGGTCTGAGTAAGCAGCATTAAATTACAAGATCTTTGTGGAGTTCTGCATTCTGAGCGTATTGTGTAACTTAGACTGAAACATCAACATATGATATACTTTTTTTGTATATTTTATTTTTACTTTACAAACATGTTTAAAAAGCAGTTATTTTTTCCACAGTATTTACAAATTTATTGTGTGTTTTTTATTGTTTCTGTTTAAGTAGAATAAACAGCTGGATTTTCTTACTTTTTTTCTTAAATTAAAAATAAAGGAAAAACTCCAAAGCCTTTCATAACTTTGAAGTTTTTTATTCCCACAGCAAGCTGGCAACTCCTGATGTCAGCAGGCGAAAGTGGTTGATACCGGGAGCGGAGTATTCCATCTTCACTGGCCAGCCTTTGGAAGTCCAGGAAAGCCCCAAAGATAACAGATTAGAAGAAACCTATATTCCTTCTAGGTGAGTCGGTTTCCTTCAGTATCTGCTACAATGTAAAGTTGAACACTTCTAAAAATAGTTTGATCCAGACTTGACTAGATTCATATTTCTAGATTTTGTACTTATTATAATAGAAGTCTAAAAAAAATTCTCAATGTTGTAGATGCTGTACAATTCCTTAAAAGCAAAACAACCTTCTTCCTTTGCTAACCTGGTATGAAACAAGCAGCAGCAGCTTTCAGTGCCTTCCTTGAAATATCAGAAAGCTTCAACTGTGTCTTGCGCCACCGTCTTGACACTCTCCATGTTTGCGTCCAATTCTGCTCCGAGTTTGGACAGTGTGCTTTGTTGTATTGGATGTGAGCTGTAGCGGTTGGCTGTAGCTTTCCACCAGTGTGAAGCTTCAGGTGTAATTTAGTAGTCTGCCTTCTTACTCAGAAGTTTCTAAAGCCTCTGTCAGGATGTATTTAGTTCTAAGAACATGTCAAATCACCAAATTTAACTCACACTGTTCAACTTTAGATTCTTGAATTGGCTGTAACACAATCCTCTGAGGTTCTTGGCTGAAATTAAAAAGCACCTTTAAAATTTGTGGTTTGACGACTGTAAATATCAAACTAAATTCCCCCAGGTTCTTGTTTATTCAGCTAGTATTTGGATATATGAAATAAAGTAAAATCCTGTTCTTCCCTCCACTGCCTCACATTCTTTAAGGCACCATTCCCCTCCTGAAAAAGACTCCTCGCAAGAAGACTCTTCAACAAAGACAATAGAAAAGAAAGAAAATGAGATGTCAGAAGCACCAATTATAAAAGCTTTTAAAGAACTTGAAGAAGGAAAAGCATTTAAAGATTGGGGTACACAGACAGAAAAAGAAGACACATCAGCTAGTAACTTTTATTTTTATATTCCTGAACTTGTCTTTACTGGCTTTTCTTTGTTTGCATGTCTTTTGGTTTTGTTATTCTCAGTATTAAAGTTCATCAGGCTTGAGTGATGGGCTAAAACCAGTTTTAGCATGCAAACTTCTGGAGTTTTCCTAAGAAAATGTGAAATGATATAGCTAAGTGACTTGTTTAAAATAGAGGGAATGCAAAGGTTGCTGTTAGGTCTCAAGCTAGAGTGTAGTTAATGTATTTTTTTCTAAGAATATCTCAGTATTTATAAACAGCTAATGGAGTCCTGACAAAGCTCTGGCTGGCTGTACATCTGTTTTAGTTTTGTTCTCATGGTGGTGTATCAGAATGTTATTAAGGAAGCTGGCATGCATACTGTAGGACTGCACTGAGCTGTTCTAACAACATTGATTTAGGAAGCCTTGTAATTAGAAAACATTGAGTCTTTCTTAAATGCTTATATTCTTGGTTCAGGCAGGTGCTCCAGCCCTCTTTCCCAGAAGATGCTTTTGTCCTGCTTTCCACCATGTCTTTGTTAAATCAGTGTTATTTAGCATCATTTCTCCCACACGTGCTGCAAAGGATCCTTTTTCATGAGTTATTCTATCCGTTTCATGAATATGATGAGAAAGAAGTGAGACTTGAGCGTAACAGCACAAATACATTGATGTGAGGCAGACTAAGTGCAGTCTTTGTACAGTAAAAGCTGAGTACAGGGGTTCCTGTATTGAAAAAGGTTGATTAATAGACTAACTTTTTCCTTTTAATTAGAAACATCAAATCGACGTCAAACTGTTGGGTTTGTTGAAACTTCTTTTGTTGCTAACCGATCCCCAGAGAAAAGTAAAGACCAACACAGACCAAAACGGTACAGCTCCCCTTGCGGCCAGAGGTCATCGTCCCTTCCTCCTTCAAACAGGAAATCAAATACACCAAGTAAGTGCTTTGCTGGAGTTTGGTTTGTGTTGCTCAAAAAAATAAAAGCAAACAATGAAAGGCTGCTCTAGAAGAAAGAAACATAGGTAGGATTTCTGCATTATTCTAACAGATAGTCTGAAAAAAGCTTGTTTATAATCATAGAAAACGTGAGACTTGCGAGTTTATTTTCATTTTTCTATGTGGCGATACACTTTTAATCTAATTTAAACATGTAGGCAGCTTTGAAAAGCATTCTTTTGAGATGTAAGCATCTGATCACATGAGTGGGAGACACTGCACTGGGAGAAGTTCTAGGTAGTTAAACATACTTTGTCTTTTGCAGCAAGAAGAGAGATAATGTTGGCACCAGTGTCTGTGACATACAGCCCAAAACGATCTCCCAAAGAAAACCTCTCTCCTGGATTTAGCCATTTGCTTAGCAAAAATGAAAACACGGTGACAAGGTATGAGTCTTGTTAAGACAGTTGTGTTCTGATCATTATTATAGAAGCAGTATGTTTATGCAGGCTTAACGCTGCTATTTCTTGTTCACTAAAAGTCCTAGAAAAGGAGTCATGTGAAGATTCCTGAATATAAAGCTATGTTTTACTTTTTAAAAATCTGGCAAGAAATATCTAGCATGATTTCCCATTTTTAGCGTTCACCAAGATGAGATGTTGGGTTTACTATTGACACAACATTGATCAGTGACAAAGACATTACAGAAGAATTGTTCTGTGGAGTAAGTCTAAATCTATGTGCTGCTTATCAGGAGATGTAAATAAAACTTGAAAATAGTATCTACCTACCTGTCATGGCACATACATGCATCTTAAATACATTAACTTTCTGCTAACTGTACTAGATACTATGGTTTCTGTAGAGGTCTTTGCTTGTAGAGTTTGAGAGCAATACTTAGCTGCTAGATTAAACTGTAGGACATGTGCATGAGGAAGAAGAAATGTCTAGCACAACTTTGGTTCTTGAGGATGACCGCATGGGAGCTCAGTGTGTTTGGGAGTGACAACTTGGCCTGCTTCTGAAAGAAAGTCAGGGGTGTGCAAATAGGTGTATATTGGGGTATGGTACTATGAGCAGTAATCAGAAGTCTTGCAATGCCTGTGGGATAGAAATTGTTTTATTAAAAAATCTGTTCATGTAACCAAAAGGTGCAAAAGTAGAAAATATTATATTATTTGATACGTGATTTCTAGCAAGCAATTGTTGTGTGCTTCCTGCTCTGTAGATTTGATATACTTCTGGATGACCTGGAAACTGGTTCTACATCTACTTTACAGCACAATAATCCAAGAAAAAGGCTCCAGTTTGTTTCACTAGATGATGTAGAAGGTAATCTGTCAAAGTGGGGGAAAACTGTTCTTTATCTTTTTACCATCATTTCTTGCACATTGGCAGCAGCCGCTTAAATAGAAAGCTGACACCTTACTCCATGAAGTCCAACTTTTAAAAATCCTCTAAATCTTGTCTTATTCCTGTAGACAAATACCATTCCTGAAGTATTTTATTTTTATGTATATGTGTGTGTGCACAAACACAATGGAACAACAAAAATAATTGAATTGAGAAAGAAGGGCAATATGTTTTCCAATGCTTAACTCAGTTACACAATGCATATCTTAGTAGGGTCTATATTAAGATGACATACTCAGTCATACTAATAAAATTCTATTGCTAAACATTGCATTACGGATAGCAAAGAGTAACTATAATAAAGCCAGTTGCTTCAGATGGTTTTAAATGATTGATTGAACCAAATCTTTTCTCAGTTTTGTAATTCTTGTCACAATGTTCTGCTTTTGTTTTTATTAATGCATTTATTTAAACTAGTGTTTTCATGACAACTAGTCTACTTGGTGATATTTAGAAATGTTGTACCAGTAAAAGTAATTCCTAATTAGCACAGTACAGTAATCTGTTTGTTAACAAAAAAAATATGCTGTGTTATAAAGATCACTTGAAAGGTGACCCATACAAATGTTTTGCATTCTTCTGGGAAGCTTGCTTAAGGCAAACTAATGACGCTTTGCTAGTTGCTATCCTGGGTTTATATACCTGCAAGATCATGCTGCTTTTCTTGTTACTAGTTTCTTTCTTTGTCCTATGTAATAATTTCACAGACAATTACAAAACAACTAAAAAGACCCCTACTTTGTTGATAGGAAGGCAACATTCAGGTGTCAGACACAGCCCTTGTGCTGAATTCGTCAATACTGGAATGAAGAAAGCGACAGTGTGGGACGAGAGGAGCATAGCACAAAAATACGAGCCCGTGCTATCGCCTTGTGAGGGAGACTTCAAGTACGCAGCAAGGATTAAGACTCTGGCTGAAACAGAGAGGCTTTTTGATGAGCTGACTCAAGAAAAGCAACAGGCAAAGATTATTTTTATTTTGAAGTTGTGATGAAACATAGTTGTTGTAGGAGAGGTGAGGGCTGTAGCCACATACCTACACAATGCGTGGCTGAAACTCACATACCATTTCTAGTGTTGCCCTAGGAATGTGCCGTTATCATTCCCTGCTCTACTTCCCATACCCCAGTCCTTTTCTGTCCCTAACCTTGTTAAAGGACAGTCACTTTTCCATCCACACTATGTTTATGTTAGGATTGGAGTGAATTTACTTTCTTCCTTAATGGCCAACGTTTTAAATCAGCCTTTCCAACAAGGGAGTTTATTCTGGTAACTCGGAGCGCTCTATTCGCAATGATCCTTGAGAGGGTCTACTTATGAAAGTTCACTTCTGTATCAGTTTTGAATGGCACAGTGTTATGGTAACATAAGTCAGTATTTCAGAACAACACTGGACACGTATCTAACGTATACACCTCGCCTCTCTTTCTGTAAGATTAGTCAGGAAAGCTTATATTGGCTCTTGAAACGATAATTTACAGCTGAAGTATTTTCTGTTATTAGATTGAGGCTGCATTGAGTCGAATACCTTGTTCTGGTGGAAGAATGACCTTGCAAGCAAGATTAAATCAGGTGAAAAAGCTTCTACCTATGACTGTTCTCTTAAGTTGCTCTTCCACAATTTGAGACTACATAGTGTAGATGAAAGTTCCGCTATATAGTAAGTGCGATTACTATGGGAATTTTTCCATACCACTGAGAATTGTTCCTGAATATGGCTGAATTTTGAAGCCGTGTGGAAGATGTTCTCTAGACTTCACTGCATTAGAAGATAATGGGGAAGTTACTGCAAGTTAATTATAAACACACTCTGAATTGCTATGTAAAAGGTTTAAGTGTAGATAATTTGTATGCAAGTGATTCAGGAAAGAATAATAAGCCTTGCAAGCATTTGATCCCCCCCCCCCAACTGCCACAAACTGACATCTTTGTGTGTATAGACGCACACACATAACAAAAAATATTCTATATTCTGTGTAAAACTGTTTATATCTTCTTTTTTTTTTCTTTTTTTGTACATGGGATGCATTTTTCTGAATTAGTGCAATAGTCTGTTCTTGTGATAACACCAAGAGGTAGATAAAGGCAATACTTTAAGAAAACAGTGACTGTGAAATAGATCCCTGAAGCTGTAGAGAGGACGTTGTGCTCTAGGAGACAGTGTAAAGGGTGTTTTTTGTTTGTTTCGGTGGGGGGTGTCTACCTGAAAGCATAAAGAAGAAAACAAGAAGGCAAAAATAAGTAGTGTAGGTGGAATAGAGGAGAGTGCTGCCTTGGGAAAGCTCTGCAGGCTCTTTTAATAAAAACATATGTCTCAAAGTTACATTTCAGAGATCTCTGTGAAGCATGCATCCAACTTCAGCATTTCTTAACTTGTAATCCCAGGGCTTGGTACCCATTTATTAATTTGAAAGTAAAAGTGCATTCTAGTAAATCAATACTGCCACTCACTACAGTGGCCCGTTCTTTCCTAAATGTGTGTCTCTAATTATCAGCCTGTCCTAAACCTTGTCAAGTTTATCTCACTGAGTTTCATAAGGCACATGGGAAAACCCCAAAATACCTGAAACAGCTTTAAAAAAAAAAAAGCCAACAACCCACCAATACACACACATACATAAAAATAATATGAAAAGTTTGTAGGTCTGGCTCTAGTTTTTGGGTGCTAACAGAACGCTGGTAATGTGTTAAAAAGGATTTCAGTTGAATATAGGAATACTGGGAGTTCCTTCATTTTAGAAGGGTCATTGGATTTTGTTGTCTGTTCTTAAATCTTTGTTTTCTTTAACTCTTCCTTTTAGGAAGCCCTGGAAGATCGCTTGGAAAGGATTAATAGAGATTTGGGGTCAATACGCATGACTCTGAAAAGATTTCATGTTTTACGTACCTCTGCAAATCTCTGACAATTCCCTCTTGAATGCAGATATGCATTTGTTTGTTTGTTGGGGTTTTTTTTTTTTTGCACTAATATGTAATTATGCACTCAGTAAATGCAAATCTTTTTGTATTTTTATAAACCCTCAATAGTAGTTTTACAACCATGTTACCCTTTACAAACAGCAATATTTTGTACTTCAAACAGCCACCTATATTTTAAACATATTTTTGTTACACTTGAGAAATCAATGTTGATCCTGTATTGTAATATTTTTAGAAATATTAATTATTTTTAAATAGTGATATTAAATTTATAATAAGAAACTAAAAGGCAGCTTGTTTTCAGAAAATGATAGTGTTATCCTTTTGCACTTCATTTTCCTCACCATTTTATAAATATTTATGCTATGATGTAAATATTAGCCAATAGGAAATTTTGAACTTTAATACAGAAAGTTACATGAATTACCTGTGATAAAGATAACTACTGTTATATGGTAAACCCTTCTAATTTAAACTTTATAACATAGATATTTTTCATTGTGACAAAACCGTGAGCAATACTCTTATTATGGCTGGCCGGCTGCAAATTGGTGTATGTTTTGCTAGCTGTGTTAGGAAAATATTATTCTAAATTATTCGATGTCTCCCAACAGTCACAGTGAGTAGTGTTTTGATACCGCAAGTACCAGAATTCATGAGACTGACAGCAGCCACCCTGTCTCCCAGTGAGCAGCTCAACTCCAGCTGACACTCCAGGACTGTAACTACGTAATCAAGTTCTGTTTTAATATCCCAGGCTGGGTTTTGTGCCATGCAGTGTTCTGATTGCGTACATTTCCAAACCAAATCCAAGCTGTATTTGTGAACATACATACGTTTTTCTTGGTGAAAAATACATATCTGCTAGTTGGCATATCGCTGAATTACTGTCCAACGTTGATATTTTAGTTTGTATTTTTAATATTAAATAAATGTTTAATTAGATTTTTTCCTTCTGCCCAAGAACAATAATAGGTTCTGGGATATTACATCAGCAATAATGTAGGTTTTAATCATATTGTGTGTTTCAAATTCTGTCCTTGTTCAAGATGTTTAGCCACCAATGATGTGATTATATGGCCAGAATAGCTGTCATAAAGGAAGCTTGTGAAGGTCTGATTCTAAAATTAGTGCTGTGGTTTAAGATACTTGATGAAGCACTGTGCATGGGTAGGCCAGTCTTTTCAAAAACTGTATTTTGTGCAGCTGCTTCTGACTGGTGGGCTCTTTCAAGGCAAGGTCAGAGTTGGGGAGAAGTCAAGAGTGTTAGTTACTCATTTTCCCCCTTACTCCAAAATGTAGAAATTTGGCCTGAATGCCTGGAGATAACTTGCTCAAATATACCTCCAGGTACATGAATAGATGTACAATGGTGATGGTATTCCATGTTCTTACTTGCAATTTTTACTCAGAAGGCGTTGAAGGAGGAAAAAAAGAATCTTGCCTTCCTTGTGCAGCTCTACTATTTAGCTGAGGAAGTTTTCCTACCACTTTAAGTTACTAACAGGTACAGTTTAAAAGTATTCTTCAAAAGCATCATTCAGTCAGCAGGCTTTTTCTAAGGAATCCATCACAGGAAAATTTCATGAGTCCACTAATGGTCTTGTTTTCTTTCATCAGCACTACGGCAAACCTAAACAGAATTTTCCTGACAGGCATTAGAAACAAGTAGGTAAATCAGTTCAGCTATTTCACTGCCTTTGCTTATACCCTCCCTTTATCTCCACTCCTTTCTTTCCAGTGCTCTTCATATTCGTGTACTCTTTTACTGAATTGTGAGTCAGAATTTATTTTTTAATCAGAAGTCCTCCTCCATCTGTTGGAGCTTTTTAGGCTATTTCTGTTCTATTAGAACACTGAGGAGGGGGGGAGTAAGCGTTGCTCTTAGTAAACTTCTAGGACAACCTTTTCAAATAGCTGCCTGGCTTTGGGTGACCTGTTCAGTATGGTGCCTTCGGCCTCATTCTTCAGAGGGGTAGAGAATCTGCAGTTCCAGATTAAATCAGTGGGAGGCCTGAATGCTCAGTGCTTCTGAAAATCAGACCTGAAGCATCAAAAAGTGGGGCACATGAAGTGCATGTTTACTGTGGAAAACGTGACTGCACTTGCTTTGCACTTTGGACACTGCCCCCTTTTTTTTTTTTTTAAATTCCTTTTAAAATTCTTGCCTGTAACATAAGCAAATTGCCTTGTTCTATATTTGGCGACAATTAAGGACTTCTAGAAGAGTAGAAGCTTGTGCTTCCTCTGAGGAGGACTTTAATCTTCTTTCTCTTGCCTTCTTCCACCTGACACCTCTCATCCACGTAGGTATTTATCACCTTTCCAGATCTACTGGGTTTTGCTCAGACCCCCAGGCTTGTTTCTGTCTCAAGCTGCCCTTACAAGACATTCCCATGCATAGTGTTCTCCCTGATAATAAACATCACAGCTCCTTCAATGCTGAGATTTAATCTTCGGAAAAGAAAACTCTATTTGTCCACATCTTTGAAAGGCAATTTTTTTTTTTTTTAAATGTGTTTATACTACCAATACTATTGCTAGCTTTAGGTAGAATCTGTCTTTCTTGGTAGTGTTCACAAAACCAGCTTGTTTGCCAGGCAGGCTAGCTCTGGCTTTGTGGGCCAGCCCAGAGGATTACAGGTAATATCGGGGGGGGGGGGGGGGGACCACGGATGGACGGACACCACACAACCCGAGAAAGAGAGAAACGGGAGCAGGTCTTGATGAGGTGAAATGATACATCTTTTTAAAAAAAACTAAAAATGCAGCAAATTAACAAATGTTTAAAAGGCTACAGCAAATTTTGTTGCTGGTTTTTTTTCTGAGGTTTCAGAATAAAGTGATTGCTAAACCTTTAGTGATTTCTGCCCCTTCCCCCCCCTCTCCCTTTGCAGAGAGTAAAGTTAGAGGAGTAACCAG